TTTTAGTTTGGCCTTTAAACTCAATAGTTTCTGGAAAAGAAATTGGATGTTCCTGTATTCAACATTTGTTTTGTTTAAAGACGAAAGTTACAAAAGGTGAAGATCACTGGTTTTTTTATCCCAGAATTTCATTCTTTATTAGTTAATTCAGTTAAGTTGTAGAGTCTAATTATTGCTAAGCCCTAATTATTGCCAATTTGCTGAGTTGGTCACGAATCGACCACTGCGGTAAGGTCGTGGGTTGAAGGTGGGGCAGGCAGCCCGCTCCTAGGGGGTTGGGGGGCCGGACGAAAATTTTAATTAAGAACTGTTTATACCCTTGTAAAATTTGGTTCTACCATAATTTCTCTTCTAAATAAGGAGCCGTCCTTAGATTTTATGTATTATCATCAAATAAAGCGAAAGAGAGGTTAGAGGAAACAAAATTGATATTTTCTCCTATAAACCTTTTTGCATTATAGTGAATTTCCGCAATGGCAGAAGAGGACGCATTCTCACATTAAGGTGAACTTCTACAAATCTTGTGTGTTCTTAGTTGTTTGTTTTCTTTCTTTAAATTGATTGCTCTTGGTGGAATAGAATTAGGGTATATAATTCACAATAAATTCCATTCAAGCTGCTCAATAGTTTGTTCATATATTGAATTTTTGTTTCTTGTTGTCAACTTGCTGTAACTACATAATTGAAGAATTATAGTGCTGAAGCATCATCCTCTCTGGTAAATATTTACTTAACGCTATATCATATTATATTATTATTTTTCTCTAATAAATATGTACCTAACTCTATATTTTATGTTATTATTATTTTTCACTTTGTTTCTCGTGGTGATAGAGCCACGTTTCTGATTTATTGCAATTTTCTTTCCCTCGAAAGAAGTTCTTGAAAAAGAAATCAGAAGTGTTTACTGTCTGTTGTGCCTAGCTTGGCAACACATTTTTGAACTTGTAGGTTGAAACTTTCTTCTGAGTTCTTCAATAAGTTGAATTATTTGTCTAAGTCTAAACTGTATCTGTCCCTTGTGGTGCTAAGAAAATTTGGCTTATCGAATTGTGGAAAAAGTAATTTTTATATTTTTAAATTGAGAGCTGAAAGAATGACTCTGGTTATCAAATAATTGAACAACTTAGAGCAATTTACTTACGAGACAGTCATTTGATATTGATTTTCTAAAAGAATGTCGAAAAGTAAAAGATGATATTTGAAATTCTCTATGCTTTGAGACGTGATTTTATTAATATTGTGTGACTAAATTGTCCTATCGAGTAATTATATCAACAATTCCGACTTTTTTAATATTGTGCAAATATATTGACCTATCGAGTAATTATGCCCCTGTTTAACACCCATTTTTTATCTCATTCTCATTTTTCTACAGTACTCATTTCTAACCACACATTTTTCAAATAAAATAATATTACACATAAACTCAAAAATTTTTCTTACTTTTTAACCACACATTCTTTACATCAATGAT